CACTTTTACATAAGTCTCAGTGTTTAAGCTTATGTTTTAGACATTCGCAGATTATATAACTCATTCTTTTTAACCATTACATAATTAAACATGCACTATTTTTGTTTAACCAGTTTATTATTTAAATTTTAAATAGTTTTGTCCCTTCCACATGCAAAGTTTTTTCCTTCTTCCCTTCTTTTTTGCAAAAGTTCTATAAAAAGTTTATGACAGTAGGAACTTACTTCTTTTCCTGGTGAATTCAAAATCCTCCTTTTATATATAAATTTTGATACATAAAGGTTTGGCAGAATGCCAATTTTACAGGTATAAGCAGAGGCCTAATGATGGAAACTCATACTAAGGATAAATCCAAGTAGCTTAAAGGGAAGATTTTGTATATAAAACACTAAGAGACGAATGGTGTGGTGGGAAGAGCTCTCAGAGACTTGACTGGAAGGCCACCTCTAAGCTCTGTTCTTTAGTCAAGTTAATTAACAGTTCTGTGTCTAAGCTTACTTAGGATGAAGTGGATGATGGTCACTTAATTCAGTAGGCAGCACACGTTAAATTCCAAGTGATGGCTATTGATGTTATTAAGGAACATTCAAGGCTGAGCTAGAAAGACTTACTGGAGGGCCAGCTGGTCCCAGAGCCACTTCGTTAGTTTCTGAGCAAGAACAGGAATGTGGAAGGTCTGGGCAGGACTCTTCATCCCGCTGAGTAGGGAAAAAAAGCATAATTGTTAACAAGATAGTTTACATAAATTGCTTTATTTATTCTAAGAAAATCAAGGCTGACAATCAAGAAAGTTGACAATAAAAGCTAATTAGGACTTGGCTACATAGTGAGCACGAGGCCAGATCTGTCTACCTGGGGCCCTTCTAACAAAACAAAACAAAAGAAACAAATAACCCTGATAGTTTGCAGTTTAAATCACACATTTTCAAACACATTTTAATGTTCTATATTTACAAACCTGGTTTTTCAATAGTTACTATGACAAAAAGCAAGGACCATGGGACAAGGCAATGTGGAAAAAGAGCTGAAAAAGAGGTGCAACCTGATCTCAAGATATGAAAACATTGCCATGCTCAGCAGGCACACACATCTCATTAGTAAATAAATGTAGTTAATCAAGAACAAAATAAGAATATCATTTTTCATGCATATTATTTTTACATGGATACTGAGTTGTAAGAAAATAAATAGTAAGATGCTTAGAAATAATCGTTTCATAAATTGAGCCATGAAGTACTTCCCTTGGCCTAGAAGCTTCATGAACGAGGGAGTTTGGGATGGACTGGACTATATTTCAATAGCCCCCTGAGTGATACAATTCAAACCATGGGGGATCATATTTGGTGACCTTATTGATTTCTTTTTTTCTGTCTCTTTCTTAAATTCATCCTGAGTTTAATTCCCATCCAAAATGAATTATTTGTAATATGAAAATTGAGAAACAGCATCTCCTTTTCAAAGAAAAATAATTTATTTCAAAAGAGGTAAAAGAATCCTTACCAAGCCAGGAAGTTCACAGCATTTGTCTTTACTGGCCCATGATGTGGAGCAAACAATATCAAACATCTGTAACTGGAACTAAAATTTAAAATGGTAGTTATCATTCACCATAGTAGAAACAGACAAGTTATGTTCATAGTTATCATTTTATCAATAGCTATAATACTAAAACATTTATAACATTCTAGTAAGTAAATTTAAAATTAAACTTAACCAACTTTGTTCCTTATACATACAGTGATCTGAAATTTTGTCTACAGTCTCCGTCTATTCTCTAAAGCCCCTAACCCTATCACAACCTCCCCCTCAGCTCTACCTAGAGTGAGCTTAGTTTCTTGGTCACAGCCTTCCTCAGTTATTTGCATCATCTTCTCCATAGACTCTTGCAGGTATGGAGAAGCACTCATCCTTGGGTCACTTAGCATGGAATGTAACATATAGCAAGCATGTGGGAAAGTCTGTTGAATTAACTCTTGCTTCATTCCTCTGTGCATACACTCAGGAATTATTTCCATTTTTAATGTAAGCAAGATATTATCTAGACTTTTCTGAGACAAAAATGAAAACAGAAAACAAAATCACTCCTGTCCAGGAAGAACTTCTAGGGAACGAGAGACAAAGCTCTTATACACAATGTGTTAAGTGCCAAGAGATTCACAGTTAGGACTGTACAAACATTAGCTAAGTGTGCTTTTATTTAAGCCACTTTTATTTAAGCAAATATTTAGACAGTCTTGTTTCACTCATGTATGTTAGTAATAACTTAAGGTACAGGTCGAAATACTTTGAAATATTTTAATTTTTAAATATTTTTTAATCATCATTTTCTATGACTTTGTGTAGTGTATGGCTTTGCTTGTCCTGGCTCATATGTAATACCCATGGGTGCCAATGGCTAAAATGTATAGAAAGAAACCCATGACCTATGCAGATATTTCAGCAAATAGAACATCGGGCATATGTACAGAAATTATGTCTATAAGGGCTAACCTTAACTCATGCCCTAATTATTTCTAGTACATTTCTTTCCATATTATTTACAAATATCGAAAGTGTCATCAACAGAAGAACTTGGAGGACAATATTTTCATTCTAAATCTGCAACTTTCCTTCAGCAAGCAATGTTTTCAATAAGGACTACAAACATGTTGTGCAAAGAATGCTACTCATCCCTTGCCAAGAACCCTCAGGGTGAGAATGCTCATGTAGATAGTCCTATTGAAATGGTATCAGAAGTATGCGAAGCCTCACAAAAGAGCTGGTTCAAACAGCAAGGAGAATGAAATCAGGCTTTCTGTCATTATGCTTGAGAGTAACTGTGTGTGTTATTGCAGCTGTTTATTCTAGTCAATCTAGAAAATAACCTTGGGTTTTGACAAAAGACTCATTATTCAAAGCATCTTACTTTCTTGATGTTACCCATGTCCAATGTTCTATTTGCTGAAATATCTGCATAGGTCATAGGTTTCTTTCTATACATTTTAGCTGTTGGCACCCTTGGGTATTACATATGAGCCAGGACAAGTGAAGCCATATACCATACGCAGTCATACAAAATGATGATCAAAAAAAATCTTTAAAAAATTAAAATATTTCAAAAAGTACACTATAAGAGAATTTGTAATATAAATATCTGTATTTATATAGATAGAAAGAAATATTTTAAAGAGTGCAAGGACCAAGAGACTATAGAGCTTAGACTGCTGGGGCTAAAATGCCTGACTCCAGCTCCAACAGGTGGGCTGTTTTGAAGAGATTAGCTCCTATCTAGGACTCTCATTTTCTGCATCTATAAAAGTAACACTAACACAGGTTAACACCCCTAATCTGAGTACATAAAGCTTTCTGAATATTGACATCATGGCAAAGTGGGAAATTCCACACCTGACCTTATGGATGGGTGGCTTGTGTTCAAAATGCAGGCACACTAAAGACGTCTAAGATTGTTTCTGAGTATGCGAACAAGGAAAGCACACAACAAAGGAATCCAGCGTGTATACTTTGATCCCGTCCTTGTGACATCTCATTGTGTATGTTCAAATATGCAAACTTCAAAACACTTATAGTTCTCATATTCTAGATAAGGGAAACTCAATCTCTATTAGCTACGCATGTGTTTGTTGTGAAGATTAAATGAGTTAACATGGAGAAAGTATTTAGAAAAGTGCCTAGACCACAGCTGCAGTAATAGACATTATTTCAATGTTCTATACACAGTCCTTTTGTGATTTATTTTTAAGGCATAGGTGTGTATTACTACAGAAACTAAAAAACGGCAGATATATAATAACTGTTTCCTTCTATAGTATATCTATTTTTAATCTTCGATGGAGAAAAATCTCAACAAATAACAATAGCAACCAAATTTTTTGAAAATTGACTCTGTGCTAGGTGGTATTCTAAGCACTATGCTTATATTATTTTTCTTAGATCATCACCACACAGCACAGTGAGAGTAATGTCCTTTCTGTAGAATGAGGAAGCTTCAGTAATTGGACTTCATGTGGAAAGTTGAGATTTGAACAGTACAATCAATGTGTAGTCTACACCATGTGTGGTTTATTTTGCAATAAATGCCTCATTGGTTTAATGCTTAAAGTGCAGATAGCTCAGCCTAACTTTACAATGCCATTGCATCTGGGAACATTTATTCAAGGGTTCCATTATGACAGCATTAGAAACAGCTATGTCTGCAATCATTCATCCATTAAGAAATTTTGCATTCCTGTATAAAGTGATCAGCGTTAAAATATATTGGTGAATGGAAAGACTTTCTTAAAGCAAGGCTCTTTAACAATTCCACCATGCATTGGCTTTCTTGAAGTTTTCCAAATAAACATTCAACACTGAGTCACCTATTAGCAAAGCAACATAATGTCCACATAGAAACTTCTGCCTAGACCTCTGCTCTGTGGAGTGACTGAGATTCTTATGAGCTCAGTTTATCCACTGAAGGGGTCAAACACCCACTGAATACTTTAGGAAGCCAATACTGTAAGTCAGATGAAATCCGCAGCTTTTTCTTTGAGTACAACACATTTATTCATAATTGTTTTGCATTTTTAGTAGCTTAGATTCCTTAGACTGTACCTAGAAACTTGCTTTCCAAAGCACATTTTTGGAGATTACAAGATTTTTTTAAAATCTTCTGACTTTTATTCCCAAAACAATGACATAGATTAGATAACCACACAAATTACACAGGCGGCAATATAGAAATGATATGTTGAAACAGCTCATATTTGGGTGCCTTTGAATACAAAACTATATAGCTCAAAATAAACCATATTTCAGGCAGCTGATACAAAAGGCAGCCTCTTTTTACTTAATCAACTGAGCATTATAAAATATATAGATTTGAAATAAAAAAGCAAGTAGCAAGAAAGGATACCCAATGTTGCATATTTATACTTTGTAGTCTCTTTCAAAAGAATTTAGCCAATTACAAATGCTCATTTTTTTTATTCTTGAACATTTTTTTCTGAATAAAGCTCAAAAGGCAAGTCATTCGGGGTCAAGTGTTAGCAAGAAAATAAGATTAAAATATTTCCCAGCAGTTGAGTCATTTTGATCTGTGAATGAGAATTAAAAGGTTTTCCTGGCTCTGCTTTTCACTCGGTACCAGATTTTTAATCCTCTGATTTTCTTTTTCTAGAATAATATAACTAAGCTTACACTTGTACAAATAGAAATCTTTTGATGTACAGGAATACCATAGGTGAATCTAAGCCATTTAATATCCAACTATCTTTAGCTTCATCTCAAAAACAGAAAGTACTGGACATTTGCCATGGTGAGCTATTGAGCTGAGAGTTTGAACTTGTTCTTAATTTACTGAATTTTAGGAAAACTATGAGGATTCTAGTTAATTTCAGAGATGAAATTAACAACTTTTATACTTGTCAGTAGGAATTTAAATGTTTGCACATAGACACATTTTGAAGGGTAAGTTTTAACCACCTTTATTTGCAAGCTTATAACTCAACTAACTCAAATGGGGAGTCTTTGAAGCTGTGAAAGAACAGACAGAGTTAAGCCCAGCACTCAGGAGGCAGAGGCGGATGGATCTCTATGAGATGGGTGCCAGTCTGGTCTACATAGTGAGTTCCAGGTGGACTGAGGTTAGGAAAAACCAGAAGAAGAAGAAGAAGAAGAAGAAGAAGAAGAAGAAGAAGAAGAAGAAGAAGAAGAAGAAGAA